TCTCCAGGTGGCCCTTAATAACACCTCCATGCAATAAAATACACCCATTTTAATGTAAGGTTCAGTGATTTCTGACAAAGATATGTAGGCCATCATCACCCTAATCAAAATATAGAATCTGTCCATCACCCCAAAAAGTTCTCTGCAGCATTTTTATCAACAAAATTGAATAAATAGAAAATATCAGAGTTTACCACATATACTAAGGTTATTATTTCATAAAACTTACATTTCAGTTATATTTAAAGATACACACACATACACAATATAGGGTTGTGATGGGGCTCAGAGTCAAAAAGTTTGAAAGTCCTCATTGAAACCCAAAATATGCACAAGACACTGGTGGTAGCTGTAAAAGTGTTATGTACTCGCTCTGAGGGTTGCTCTGTGCCAGGCTCTCTGCTAAGCACCTACGTGCATCATCTCATTCAGTCCCACAGCCACCTCCTACATGGCGCTTTACACTTCATTCCACAGACGAGGAAACCCGGGCTTCACACTCTTCCCTAGACATTAGATCTATCTGATTCCTAAACGTACTGTTCTTGATGTCTCGGTTCCCTCTCGATGGTCTTATAACTCCATCTGAAATGTCAAGTCCTGGAGGACACAGATAATATCTATCTGTGAACCTCAGTTAATTCATTCAAGTACAGCTAAAATAATGAGAGAAAAAGGAAGACACAGTCCGCCCTCCATGGAGCTTGCAGTCTAGTCATAGGCGTATATACCCACCAAGTCACGAACAGCACCAAAGAGAGGAACACAGTCCCAGGTTCCTTGTTGTAACCTGAGATGTAACCCTGGCTGTGATGGGCTGGCTTTTCCTCCTGCAGTCATTTGGGAATGTTGCTGAGACGGTGCTGTGCAGTCAGGCCAAGTGAAACCTGGAAGGCCCATTGCCTTCCGGCTCATTCTGAAAGACCTGAGACCTTGAGGAGTCCTGGGGGGACACACACAGTCCTGAGGTTGCTGGAGGGACAGGCCCAGGGTCTTGCTGGAAAGAGCGGAGACCTCAAGAGCCCTCCTACAAAGCCCTTGACCAAAGAGCAGCAAGGGCAGGATTCAGCACAGAATTTCCCTGTCATTAGGGTCTTTGTCCCTGAGTGTACCTCCATGATATACTACCAGCCATCATCAGTCTCTCACTTCAAAAGAGTCAAGATGATGGCACAGACTCCATCTCCCAGTTGGCCCTCATTGGCTGCACCCTGACTGACTTATTGCTGATGAGCCCGTTTATTTCAAGACCCAAATTCCTTTCTCCATTAGATTCTCTGGTATCATTAAATCTCCTGACCATTAAGAAAGGTCTTCAATCGTTGTTTTTGAGCATCACTGCCTTCAGCACATCCCCATGGTTTGGAAAAGTCAGTGGACCCCCAACGGAGACCAGTTTTCATCTAAAGAGGAAGTAAAACCCCAGGAACCATGGGGCCCTCACGGCCTCCTCAGTGTGCTCACCTAATCTCACCAGCCAGGGTGGATGTGGAAAGAATCAGAATCAGAATTGAGCTTAGATCCCAGCTCTGTCACTTGCTAGCTATGTGACCTTGGGCAATTTACCTAACCTCTCTGAACTCCTGTTTCCTCATCTCAAAACAAAACAAAACAAAACAAACTAATAACATTAATACGAGTCTTGCAGGGTTATTGTGGGATTAGATGAGATCAAGGTATGCAGTTGGCACTTAATACATATCAGCCCTTCTTCCCTCCTTGTGCCTGCCAAGTAGGTTAACATCCTTCTGAGACAAGAACAGCCGAGCAACTTTCTTTTAAGGAGGATTTGTAACTTTGTTATTGTTTTCCCTGGAAGGGCACGAACAGGAAACCTGCGGTGGCAGGAACACCGTAACTTTGGCCCTTCTAATATATAGCGAATGAAAATTTCCATAGGATCGTAACTGCTGTGCATTATAACATTTTATGTACCAAGAGTGCCCACCTGGAAAACAGGCCTTGTCTCTCTATCTGTACCACCAAGAGGTCCCAGCCACCATCACCCACTCAC